CTGGCCGGCCACGAGTCGGGACCCGCCATAATCCTGCTCCTCCGAGCAGCCGGCTGTGACCCAGTGGGACCCTGGGCCTCCCACCACCGCTAAGCCATTAAGTCCATTAACGAGGCAACCGCAAGCCACCTGCCCACCGTCACCGCGCCTGCAGCCCCCACGCCCCTGCAGCCTCGTGCACGAGCCCCCGGCCCTGACGGGCGCCCGGCCTGGCACAGGGCTCCCTTCGCACGCGCCTGAGCCGAACCGTGCCACGGGTCCCCGAGCGAGCGAGCCAGCGAGCGGGCGGGCGGCAGCACTGGGTGTGCCGCGCGGCTCCAGGCGTGCTCCCCGACACTCCTGCAGGAGACAGGTGCCTGCCCGCACGCCCCGGGGGCACGCACCTTGCACGCGTGACTCACCGTGCGCAGCCAGGCAGGCGAGCAGCCCCTGGGGCGGCGGAGCCACCCTGCACGAGGCCACGGAGCCTCGCTGCCCCCCGCCCCACGACCTTGAACTGCTGCTCCCACCCACACCAGTCGCACGAGCCAACCCGACACAGGCCCCGAGCCCCGGCCCCGCCGCGTGGCAGCGACCACGAGCGCTCCGGGAATCCCGCTCAGCCCACGGCCAGGCCACAGGGTGGGGGGGCATACAAGAGCGGCCTCCTCGCCCCCCCCTCATCTCCAGTCCAGCGGAGCCAGGATGCAGTGGTGAGGGATCCGGAGACCACCCCTTGTTGCAACCCCAGATGCATCGCACCCCCAAGGGGTCTGGAGCCCCCCTTGTTGCACCCCCAGATGCATCGCACCCCCAAGGGATCCGGAGACCACCCCTTGTTGCAACCCCAGATGCATCGCACCCCCAAGGGGTCTGGAGCCCCCCTTGTTGCACCCCCAGATGCATCGCACCCCCAAGGGATCCGGAGACCACCCCTTGTTGCAACCCCAGATGCATCGCACCCCCAAGGGGTCTGGAGCCCCCCTTGTTGCACCCCCAGATGCATCGCACCCCCAAGGGATCCGGAGACCACCCCTTGTTGCAACCCCAGATGCATCGCACCCCCAAGGGGTCTGGAGCCCCCCTTGTTGCACCCCCAGATGCATCGCACCCCCAAGGGATCCGGAGACCACCCCTTGTTGCAACCCCAGATGCATCGCACCCCCAAGGGGTCTGGAGCCCCCCTTGTTGCACCCCCAGATGCATCGCACCCCCAAGGGGTCTGAAGACCCCCCTCGTTGCATCTCCTCCTGGATGCATGGTAGCCCCAGGGGGTCCAGAGCCCCCCCCTTTGTTGCACCTCCAAATGCATTGCAGACGCAGGGGTCCGGAGCCCCCCCCGCAGGGGCAGACAGCAAAGGGACCGGGCTCTGCTCCCCCTGCACGGGTGGCTCCAGGCTGGCAGCTCCCATCCAGGCTCAGAGCCTGTCCGGGGGGAGAGAAAAGGCAAAGCCTGTGGGCACCTGCCCCTGCCCCCGCCTGCAGCCTCCTGCGCCCGGGCAGCTTGCACCTGCCCCCTACAACCACTGAACAACAGAGGGCTGGACGGAGCTGGGAGCTCACTTCTAGTCCGCAGGACCAGACCCACTGCATGCAGGCTTTGTGAACCTGGGCCAAGGATGGAGATGCCACCACCTCTCCGTTACCCCCCTCCTCCTGAGAGAGGTTTTCCTACTCTCCAGCCTCAACTTCCCTTGCTGCAACTTGGGCCCATTGCTCCTTGTCCTGCCCTCTGCCCCCCTGAGACCAGCACGGCGCGGCCTGCAGGGAGAGCTGCCTCCCGGGCCCCGGCCTGCGGTCTGCTGGAGATGGAGAAACTCCTGTTGGAGAAGAAACTGCCAGGAGAGGCGCGCAGCTGTCAACGGTCGCCGGCTCCTCGGCCACTTCTGCATTTCCAGCCGCCCAGACCGCAGGCTGTGTCGAGAGTGTCACGAATGGGGAGGGTGCAGAAAGGCGCCCCTCCCCCGGCTCCTTGTCTGGCGCCAGCTCCATGCGGGGAGCCTCCGGCCCGCGCGGCTGGGTTGTGCCTGGATTCCCGCCACTGGGGAGCTGGCTCCGTGGTCGGACCCGGAGGGTGGTGGTGGATGGTCTTGGTGTGTGGTCACCAGTGGGGTCCCCCCAAGGCTCTGTCCTTGGACCCATACTGTTCAACATCTCCATTAATGATGTGGACATTGGGGTCAGAAGCGGACTGGCCAAGTTCACCAATGACACCAAACTCTGGGGTAAAGCAGCCACACCTGAGGGCAGGAGGGCGATCCAGGCTGACCTGGACAGGCTCAGCAAATGGGTGGACGAGAACCTGATGGTGTTCAACACCGATAAATGCAAGGTTCTCCACCTTGGGAGGAAAAACCTGCAGCATCCTTATAGGCTCGGCAGAGCTACGCTGGCTAGCACTACGGATGAAAGGGACTTGGGGGTCACAATTGACCACAAGATGAACATGAGCCTGCAATGCGATGCTGCGGCTAGTAAAGCGACCAAAATGCTGGCTTGCATCCATCGATGCTTCTCAAGCAAATCCCAGGACGTCATTCTCCCCTTGTACTCGGCCTTAGTGAGGCCGCAGCTGGAGTACTGTGTCCAGTTTTGGGCTCCACAATTCAAAAAGGACGTGGAGAAGCTCAAGAGAGTCCAGAGAAGAGCCACGCGCATGATCAGAGGTCAGGGAAGCAGACCCTACGATGACAGTAGGAGAGCCATGAGGCTCTTCAGCCTGGAAAAGCGCAGGCTCAGGGGTGATCTGATGGCCACCTACAAGTTTATCGGGGGTGACCACCAGGATCTGGGGGAACGTCTGTTCACCAGAGCGCCCCAAGGGATGACGAGGTCGAATGGTCATAAACTCCAGCAAAACCGTTTCAGGCTGGACATAAGGAAGAACTTCTTCACTGTCCGAGCCCCCAAGGTCTGGAACAGCCTGCCGCCGGGGGTGGTTCATGCACCTACATTGAACACCTTCAAGAGAAATTTGGATGCTTATCTTGCTGGGATCCTATGACCCCAGCTGCCTTCCTGCCCCTGGGCAGGGGGCTGGACTCGATGATCCTCCGGGGTCCCTTCCAGCCTGAATGTCTGTGAAATCTGTGGATTCACTGCTCAGCAGGTTTCAGCAAGAGAGTCCCAGCATGGATCTGGTTATCCTCGCTCTCTCTCTAGAGCTAAATCTGTAGCTGTACAGAAGCACACACACCTGTGCAAGCACACATGCACACGGGAACAGGCTTTCACATGCACACAACCTCAGGAAACAATCCCACGTGACCTGGTCTTGCAAGACAGGCTGACCTAGCAGCTAGGGCAGGGGCAGGCAATTATTTTGGTAGAGGGCCGCTTACTGAGTTTTGGCAAGCCATCGAAGGCCGCATAACAGGGCAGATGAATATTAATTTTCTAAATTTTTTAGGGGCCCCGCGGGCCAGATAGAATGGCCTGGTGGGCCGCATCCGGCCCCTGGGCCGCATTTTGCCCACCCCTGAGCTAGGGTAACAGGCAGACAGGGAGCCAGGACACCTGGGTTCAGCTTCCACAACTGCTCTCTGGTTGACCCTGGTCAAGTCACTTTGCCGGGTCTCAGTTCCCCGTCTGCAAACTAGAGCCAAGACTCCTTCTTGTTTCTGCTGGTGTGTTTTGTTTGCCAGGCCCGTCTCTTTCCACACAAACGTGCAAGCTCTAGTGCAATTGGCTCTGGCTCCTACTGCAACACCCACGACACAAGTGTGCCGACACCGCTGTGTGACCTCATGCTGCAGCCATGAGGTCAGATCTAGGCGCTGCAAGGCAGGCATGCTGGCGTGCTCATGTTGCCCCAGGGAAGTGGCAGCCCAGCAGGCAGGGAACACAGGGTGGCTTTTTAGTGGCCTTGTTTCTGCTTGCAATGGGCAGCAAAGTGGCACCTTTGTGGGCAGTCCAGCAGAGAGAAGCGGAGGGCCAAATGGGCCGTGGCGACTGACCTCTTGCATGTGACTCTGGGGGGCAGACACGCAGCACAGGGTGGGCAATAAGGGGGACAATTTGCAGGCTGAACTCACCAGTTATGGGGTGGAGATGGGTCCAGTGCAGGTCCCAGCTGCTGGATGCCCAGGGCATGATCTGTGCAACTTCAATTTAAGTCCTGGCGACACGGAGAAAGCACTTACAGCCGTCGCCTCAGGGAAGGGGCCCTGCACCTGGGGAAGAAGCTGGGACGGAGGTAGCTAGAGCCACCACTGGAGACCGGCCAGGGAATACCATGGGATGGTCTGTCCAGAGCGGCAGCTGCCGGCTGGAGCCCTTAGCACAGAAAATGCGATGGACAGCTGCCACCTGCCGATGGGACCGAGCGACGGAGCACTGGAGAGTCTCTATTACGTACGTGCACATGCATGCACACACATGCACGCAGCTCCCCAGGTACAGAGGAAGTTTGCTTTCATCTATCCCTCACCTTCTTCTTCCTATTTTACAGATGGCAAAACCGATGCCCAGGCAGGGGACAGGACTTCACCTAAAATCACCCCACAAGGGAAAAGAATCAGGATCCAGGGAAGGGATGGGCTGGGAAAGGAGACAAGGAGTCCATGCAGAGGGAGGAGAGGGTTTGAGAGAGAGAGGGGAGAGCCCGGTTGAACTGATAAGCAATTGCTTGGGGGGGACAGGCATGGCTCTGTGGCTCCCCGAACCTCCTTGCACCCTAAGACGGCCTGAGACCAGGAGCCCCCCTCAGCCCCGGAAGCTTTCCCTCCTCCCCACCCTCGGCATCCTCACTAGCCCCCCAAGGGACCCCTCAGTACCAGCCCCCTGCTCCCCTCCCTGCCAGCCTTGATGTGGAGGGTGGTGGTGGGGGGCCGGGGCTCCCCGGTTCCTTGTGGGGGCGGGCAGAGGAACCTTCAGAGCCGCTCGGCCCAGGAGCCACCGGGCTGCAGCCTCCTCTGATGCCCCGGCAGCTGCTGCCAGATGCCCTGGGAGGAGAGAGACAGATCACATCGCAAAGCCACCGAGCCGTCCCGACAGGCTACCGGGCAGGGAAAATGCCAAAGGACCCAGAGCGCTGCTCCCCTGGCCCCGAGAGGCCTGGAGCGACGTGGCCCCATCTGCAGCAGGGTCGAGCGGGGAAGGCGGCTGCCTGGAGGAGCTGACCTCATCCTCCTTGCTCCAAATGTCAGCGGGCGGAGGGGGGGGAAGCGCTCGCTCCCCTCCGCAGAGCCATATGGCTGGGGGTGGGGGGCTGCCGGCTCTCTGGATGCAGGCCGAGCCCCCTGCTCTGCACAGCAAGACCCGGGCTTGCAGGCTCAGAGCTGGGGGAGGCATCCCAGAGAGCAAGTGAGACCCTTCCCTGCTACCCCCTCGGTTGGGGACCCTGGGCCCCCCTGGCCTGAGCAAGCTGGACAGCAAAGGCGGGGGCAGGGTGGCTTGGGCAGGCGGGGCTCTCGGGGTGACTTTGGAGGCAGGAGGGGGCAGACCTCCCAAGAGGGAGACTGTCCTGTTACCCCCTCCAGAAATGGCTCCCCCAAAGGCCATGCAGTCTGGAAGAGCACCATCATTGCCTGCCCCGTACCACCCCCCAAAACACTGGGGCTAACGCTGATCCCACGACGTGCATCTCACACAGCATCCACCAGCAGCTGGATCGCAGGTAGGACCGGACCCTGGCACCGATGCCGCACAGCCCCTGGCCCGCATGGCCCAGGGCAGGCCGGTGTGCCTCAGTTTCCCCCTAAGTGAAGCCTCCCCGCCCATCCATCAAGGAGGCAGGGCCCTGGCCGCACAGCGCTATCAGTCAGCAGAGGGTTATTGGTCAGAGGGGACCGGGCGGGGAGGGGAACATGTGTTGGCTTCATTGTCTTTCCCCCAGGAAGCACTTACTGGGAGCTGGCTCTGGGCCCTGGAGCGTGCAGCCCATGATCTCACTGCTTCCATAGCGATGGGGTGATGTCACCACCGCTGCTTCATCTCCTGGCCGGACTGGGCCAGCTGCTCTGGCCCCGGAGCCGCTCCGTTCAGCTGCTGCTCCGGCCCGCGCGGCGAGGCCAGGTCTGTGCCGGGCCCGAGACCCCCTGTCTGCGCGCTCGCCTCCCGGCCAAACTGGGCAGCCCCACCGCGCTCCACCGCAGCCCGGCCGCAGGAGGCAGGCGAGCTGTGGCCACGATTGCACTTCTGCATGGGTGTGTGGGGGTGCCCGCTGTGCTCCCCGCAAGGGCAGGGCACTGAGCCCCGGGCGTGCCCTGTGCAGGGCATCTCCCAGCCTCGGCCAGCTCTGCCCCATGGAGCCGGTGCGTGCATGGCAGGGAGCTGCCTGCCTATAGCTCGCCCTTGCCAGGGGAGCAGCCAGGGTGCAGGCTGCAAGAGGCAGGCACCCGTGGTCCCCCGCTCCGCTCCGCTCCTCGAGGAGGTTAATAGCCAGGGCTCCGAGCTGGAGGCCGAACCGGCTGCCTCTGGAAAGGCAAACAGCAGAGTCGAATGGGGCCACTCCGGCCTGACCTCAATTGTCTGCCTCTTCCTGCCGGGAGTGGGCTGGTGCAGCTGGCGCAGCGTGGGGCACGGGCAGCGGCTCCAGCCCTGGGAGCCTCATGCCACCCCCGCAGATTGGGATGTGGCCCTGTGCTGGCAGGGGACCCGCAGCTGGGTCCCCATCCACAGCCCTGGCTGCAGGGGGGTGGCAGCATCCAGGGACACAGGCTCTCTGCCCTAGGCCTGCTGGTCCCTCTCTGCCCGGGCTCCCTGCCTGGCAGAGCCACCCATCCCTCCTCCCCACTACAGGCCCCGCCAGCCGGGGGGCCAGACGTCGTGGGGTGCAGGCAGGACGCAGGGCCGTGGTCGTGGGAGCTCCGGTCAGGCTGTGTCGACAGGTCCCGTGCTGCGCTGCGCTCTGGTCCAGACCCACTCACCCCTTCTCCAGACCCTGGAGCCATGTCCAGTCCACCCCTTGCTCCCGCGGCCTCTGGCTGCCCCCAGCACTGAGCACTCACCCTTTGCTGGCAGCACTGGCCAGCAAGCACCCAGGGCCCCGAGCACCCTGCTATGTACCCGGCAGGGCAGAGCCTGGCATGGGCACAGCCACGATCTTAAAGGGTTTTCTGCTAGGAGCAGCCCCAGCCCCACAGCGCTGGTGGACAGGACCCCCTGTTGCATCTCTCCCCAGCTCCCTGCCCCCCTTCCACACCCAGCTCAGCCCTCTAGCCCATCACTGCAGGCCTTGGTGGTGCCCACTGTCTTGCTGCATGCAGACTGCGCCCTGCACCCCGGGAGGGCTGTAACTCACCCCAGGAATGCAGCCCCCATCCTGTCTGCATGGTCAGGTGCTGCAGAGGGACCTGCCTTGGGCTTCATGCTGGTCCCAGGGGGTCTCCAGCCCTTTGCCCCCCACAGCCATACCCAGAAACAGGACCCACGGAGACACCACTGCCAGTGGGGAAACAGGCTTTATTTGGAAACGATTGTGCTGCGGTACAGGAGGCAGGAGGCTCTGGCAGGACCACAGCTCTGCCGCGCTGGGCGCCACGCGTGTGGCCAGAGCCCCCGTCCAAGGGGGCACACGGTCTGAACGGGCATGGCGGAGCTCCCCCGTGGTGCAGGCTGGAAACGCGGGGGGCAGTGAGATGGGGAGATTCCCACCCCCACCTGCACCAGGGGCTTCCTGACATCCCTGGATGGCACCTTGGGGACTGCCGCTAATTAGCTCGAGTCAGAGCAGCCTGGGGGCCAGGCTGACGGGAGGGTGGGGGATTGCCTCTGCCGCATCTCTGGCCCCGGGGAAGGGAGACGGGCCAAGGAGCCAGGCTGAGGGTGGTACTGAGGCCCCACGACGCCAGCAGCCCGGTGCCTTTGGGAACCGGCTGCTTCTTGCCCCCCCAGGGCAGCAAGGACGGGCTGGGATGGGCTTTGTGGAGGGTGCTCCTTCCAGCCGGAGCTCCCAGGGTGCTGGAAGGGGGGACGGGGAGATGTTTCCCAGAGCACACAACAAACCAAAGACCCCTCCTGGGAGCCCCCAGAAGAGCAGGACAGGACAGGACAGGACTGGGAGCCCCCGCATGGCTCTCTTCCCCCGGCCCGGGCCTTCACAGGCACTTGAGGATGTAGAAGTTGCAGGCCGTGCCGCGGGGGCAGTTGCAGAGCTTCCCGATGCGGGCGCCTTTCCTGACGGCGCACTGCTCGCCGGCGTCGCACTGCGGGGCGAGAGCGGGGCTGCGTTAATACCACCCCCATGCACACACACTTGTGCATCCCCCCCCAGCCCCCTGCAGCAGCATGGCCATGACACATGGGACAGGGGGTGATGGCAGCAATGAGCTGCCCTAGGTGTCATTTTAGGGAGGAAGGTCAGGACTGGGGGGATTTACACCCCCGTCCCGCACTGGGCGAGCCCCAGGGTTGAAGTCCAGCTGCAGACACAGCCCGACCTCCGCCCGCACTCCCACCGAGGACCTTACCGAGGGCACCCAGCCCAGCTTCTTCTCCACCGAGGGCAGGCGCTTGCTCTTCAGCTTCTCCAGCACCTCCTGCAGGGCCACGATCTGCAGACGCACAGCGGGAAGGGGGCACATCTCAGCCCTGCATGCGCCCGAGAGCCTGGACCATTGGTGCTGGGCTCCCAGAGACCAGGAACGCCCAAGGGACCAGGGGCAGCAGCAGATGAAACCCAGGGAGCTGCCAAAACCCCTCTGAAGACCAGGACCTGACACCCCCTTGGGACATGGGGGCAGGGGCTGGTCCACACAGGGCTGCTCAGGGAAGGGGCTCTGAATTAATGGGGTGGGAGTTAAGAATTGCATTGACTGGGTCAGACCCTAGGGCCATCTCGCCTCGCCTCTCATGTCACACGGAGGCTGGAAGGGAGAGCGAGCGAGCGGGGTCTGAGCAGGGTTTCCCCCTGCCCCTCTCCCCCTTGCAGCCCCCAGCCCGTGGGCTCTAGGGATGCAGAGGCCGTGCCCCGCACTGCCCGCTCCAGTGCTCCCCGTGCCCATCCTCTCCCTTGGTGGACCATGCTGTGCTCTGCACCCCCACCTCCTCCGATGGCCACCCTTGAGCACCCTGCCAGGTTCGGTGTTTGTTTTAAACGGGCAGCCTGCTCACGCGCTGACCCCTCCGTCCCGTCTGGCGTCAATCCTCAGGTCCCGTACGGGCACCCCTACCCGCACGATGGCGGCTGGCGTGCGGTGCCCCCAATTCCCTTTGCGCTTAGCTCCGAGTCAGTGGCTGCCACGGGCTCAGGCAGCGCGAGCGCCCGGGGGACTCTCATTCAGACGCAGGCCGAGCGCCGGCTGCAAGGGACTGCCGCGTCTACCAGCGCGTGGACGGCCAAACCCGGTCCCCCGTGGGTACCGCGCCTGGGACAAGGGGCGCGTCTCCCGGGGCCCAAGGACCTCGAAAGGGGGCAGCCGGAGCAAGCAGCACTCCAGCCCTGCTGCCATCCCCAGCATGGCACGCCTGCGAAGCCGGGGCACGGGGGCATCCCCGATGGGCCCAGACTGCCACGCCGGGGAAGGACCCCAACCCCCCTGGACGCGGGCAGGCGAAGGGACGTGGCCGGGGCCATGCAGGGCGGCGGTGGCAGCGCCCCTTACCAGCTCCTTCTCCTC